GGCCATGAATTCTAACTTCTGCTGACTCACAACATAGCGAAACCACTTCACAGTGTCTTCTTCGATGAGTAACTGTTTTCACCTTCGACCTCCTTTACCCTACTGGGCACAGCTTCCCACTAGAACTCCAGGTAACTGTTTGAATAGGGTCAGTCACTAGCGAGCATCAGATCATTTTTCAAGTATTGGTTTTGTAGGGATTTCGTTTGATTTGTTGGAGGATTTCATCATGAGGTGCCCCAAGGACTTAGTGGTCTACAACCTCGCTTCGTAACCAGGAGGTCCTGAATTCAAACCCCTGTGAGTGTGTACTGATAAAAAGCCCCAAACTGGGACGAAAGAGCTGTCCAGTGCTCATGGGTTTTCCAATGGTTTTCTAACTGATGTCAGCTCATGATGAAATCCTCCAACCAATGAAACAAAATGCCCACAAACCAATACTTGATAATTCCTGAGTATTTAGGATTTGGAAAGATTTCTCTCCAAGAAATTTCTTTGTGTAAGTCTCGGGTTTCTCAGCAGAAGTACCTGACATTTTACTAAAATCCAATTCGTGTATATGTGCAAATCTATAACAATAAATAAAATGAAATCAACTTGCAAATTATTGGTTTGGTGAATATCTGTTCAGAATGATGAAATATGATTAGTCATCATATATTTCTTTTGTTATCATCATCTGCAACATTGTTCAATAACCAATGTATGCAAAAATGCATTTATGGATATGGGTGTGTTGTATTTATATCCAGATTGCAAAATGATATGTTCAGCATTAATAAATGATAATAAATACATTCATAACAAAATTAATGGTTTTGTCAGAATTGACAATGAGGACTAATTGTTTTATTTTCTAAAATAGTGATCCCGGGATGTTTAAAAATGATACCAATTAATCAATTATATTACATGACTTTTGTACCAATCGGACATCATGCTAAAATTATTTCAAGACGTTGATAGCATCTATAGAGTCAAGATATCTCTAAAATGTTAATAACGGTATCAAGATGGTCTTCTGTATATGCCATCGAATGTTATTAAAATATGTTGGGACTTCCAGACTGGTCGTAATTTGTATGAATGACAACCTTACCCAAATATCCCAACATTTTGAAGATCACTTTTATGTCTACTTTTAATTGCATCTTTTGTTATATTTGGCAGCTTTTGTGATCTCTTCAGTTCGTTTTTATTCACAGATGGATGTTGGACTCATAGCTGATGTTCATTTACCCTGATTTTCACTGGTCTACAGAATACGCTGATATAGAAAACAATACATTTGTATACTTTATCCGGTAGACACAAATGTTCTGTATCATCTTAGCATTTACATCTTTCACATGAACTAAAGCTTTCTCTAAAAACAGAATTAAGGCCTTGAAATAGATTTTGGTTTTATACTCGGTTAATACTCTCTATGCTCCATGGAACTGATGTTATTGACAAACCATAAAATTATTACTTTTTCGCTTTCATTATTCTTTTCTATCCTGTAAATTCTACTAAACTTTTCATTGGAAGTCATCCTTGTATAGACATTTTCAGCTTAGGTTTGTCTCATTTACTTTGGGGATCCCATTTTCACATCATCTTTATCTGTTACAGAATTTTTAGCTTTCTTGTTTATTGGATGATCAGAATAGAATTTTAAATATTCATTCAAATATGTTGGCTTCTTATATTTTGAGAAGATAAACTAAGAAAATTGAAGTTATTCAATTTAGCTCTACTTCACTACCTAGAATAGCTCAGTGGTGACATCTATGACTTCAGCCCTGGGTGACGCGAGTTCGAATTCCCTTGAACATATCAGTTCCTTTAAGCTTGCAGATACGCCTTGTTGATAAATCTAAAAGGGTACAATCTATGTTATGGGTATCCTGCCGATCACCTTCAATCTTATATTTCATTTGTAAGTTGTTCACAATATAAAATAAACTTCATGTGCTTTAAAGTCTTAATATTGAACTTCTTCAATAATTATGAAGAAATTATTTACATGTTCAAATCATAATTAAAATGAAGGAAAAAAGATCACAGAAGACAATAAAAGGGATAAGTAGTATTGTAACAACAGAAGGCGAGACACGGAAACCAAAGTATATTTCATTAATCGAACCGCCGTTTATATATATACAGTTTATGTTCTTTAACCAATAACTGAGATTGTGATTTTGGTTGACATCAAACTACATGGAATAGAATGTTCAAATATACATAGTATTCTTTTGTTAATGCAGTATATAACCGTGGGAAATGTATTCTGTCTCTAACATCAATTGGAATGTTCAAATAGATATATTGTATTCTGTTGCTGATACATTATTTAACTGTGAGAATCATACTCCGTTGGCACAAATTGTCTGTATCACACCACCACAATATGACTAATTATATTTAGTCAGTATGAATAAATATTCTCTTCATCTTCTGTAGTGGTATGGCGTATGCTACTGACGAGACTTATAAGTAGTATATAGGTGGAAACTGATACGAAGCTGCCAGTAATTGGAATCAAAATTTTAAGTCAAGAACTGCAGAGGGTCTGGCTAACGTTGTGGACATGAAGTGATCTAATCGGGAGACTTTTCGTCCCATTGTTCAACCTTGGGCCAATCGTCGACCAATCAGAACGGTTCGTTGTACGCTGACCCAGCCAACTTTTAATGTGGTTACAAAAGTATAGATATGATGTGTTTTCCTTAATAAAAAGGTCCGTCACCAATTCTCTTATCTTCTACGGTTACATTGGTTCATTGAAATGTCTTGTATTTTTAAATACACTAGAATCATATTTGGTGGATTAAAAATGCCCATTAAAATTTTCAAATGAATGGTCACTGCACAAAGAATATTCTTTTAGATAACCTGAGCTTCATCAAGTGAATGAATTAGTGTTATTAACAACATTAATATTGTTTAAACAACATCGAATCAATCATAACACCAGTGGATTATGGTTCGACAGCATCAACATAATAATGCACTGAATATCAGACAGGGAAATTAGGAAAAATGATAAATTCATGAATTTATAGTCTTCACTGAAGGCCGGCCATGGCAGTAGTAGTGGCTGGATTTGCTTATTCTGTATACAGAGCACCGGGTTTTTCAGTTGAATCCAGATACCCTCTACTATTTAAGGCATGTGGTACCTGGATGTTTTTGGCAAATTGTTTGGTACCCGATAGATGATGAAGAAGGACTCTTCAGTATTAGCTTTGTGATCGGTTTGGACTTGGTGTTCTAGTGTCGAATATTGATGCTTCTAACTACACCTTTATTTAACCACACTGCTTAATGTTCCCGAGCACAAAAAGTCAAGTTCCTAGAGCAATGGCCAATATAACTTGCTCTACAAGCGCAGTTGAATTGGTAAATACAATTGGAAATGGCTAGTCTAGGTAGTTCATCTTTCAATCGGGGAATCATTACCGGTGGTGTAGAAAATATGGCTTGTAATTTTCCAGCATTAAAAGATTTTTCAATGGATTATTTTAAATTTCCTGTTATTATTTCTCTAGGTATATTGCCCCTGACTTGCAGTCGTATGTTTAGAGGCTTCTTGTTTACGCATTTTGAATCTAAGGACAGGTTAGAAAACTAGGGAGCTGGTAAACTAAGCGAGGTTAAATTTATTTGGTACTTGCAATTTTTACATTTTTAGATGAATTTTCATAACAATTTTATCTGGAAACCAAAATTATTCAAATCACATTATGCGATCTGCTTGATATTCTATATGTAATAATCAATAAGGTAAGCATATATTCATATGAACTGTGATCAAGATTTGACCGGATGTTAGCAAAATAATTGAGCGCTGAGTGAGAAGTAGACATTTATAAAATTATATTTGTAAAATCTAAGCGAAATTGAAATGATTAATTCCAACGTTTCGTTCGGCAATCTGGTCCGAACTTCTTCAGGGAAATTAATCGAATTAAAATAAACAGAGGTTTATATATAAAAGGAACAAGTCATGTTTTTTAAATTTTGTCCAATCATGAGTCATGCAACAGTCATCAACATGTATAATAAATAAATAAATAAAATAGTATGTTTTTATATAAAGCATATATTTATGATTGTATAAACTACTGATTCGTCAAGATGAGTAGTAGTAGTGTAGAGTAGCCAAATCGAAGTGATCTAACCACTGGACGTCCATCTTACTCATTTGGATTGCACTCATCAGTAGTGTACCTGATTTTACTCAGCTCAGAGAACCGAATCAACTAGAACCACCCGATTCCTTGCTAGACGCATGGGTAAAACAGTAACAAAGGGGATTACGTTTGCAGATTGCGAATTACACAAATCGAGTTTCTTTATCGGCATTTCGATAGCATCAAGCAGATCACAACTTGTGATCTGAATGTTTTAAGTCTCCAAAGGAAACTGTGATGAGCTTCAATCTCGAACTGCGTAAATTGCAAGTAATGAAATAATTTGCAAATTGCGGACTCAGTCCAATGTATTACTAGTTCTCCGAAGTTATTATTTATTTTATTTTATACTTCTGCGTTCCAAGTGGAAAATACGGCTTCAAGTTTGAGCTTTGAAGTTTCTGTAGCAGTGAGTTTTTATTTTTTATTTTACAGGGAGAGATTGCTAGCCTAACGTCCAATCTTCCCTCTTCACTGGGCTTACTACCAACTTAGCAAGGTTTAGGAGTGCGTCGGCCGAGGATCGACTCCTGAACCACATGAGTGGTTGGCGAGCACTCTAACTTTTTACTAACGACACACAAAATTCGAATGATTTGATCTAGTTTGGTTCTCTAGGCTGAGTCAAAACAAATTCACCGTTGATGAGCTCAACCCCAAACTAGCAAAACGACCCATCGGTGTTTAGATAATTTAGATTAGATTATCCAACTACTCAATTCAGTCAACCAGTAGTATATAACATCACCATTTATTAATCCACGAACTCAACATTAATTAAGAACAAAACTTTGAGAAGCAAATATTATTATAAAAAAAGCCCATTAACAGTTCATATTATATAATTAGATAGATGCTTTTTTGCAAAGTAAAGAAAGTTACACTTCCTTCATAGCGTTGAAAAACACTGTCCATTTGAAATAACCTTTTTCAATGGAATGATTTCGATTTACCACAGTTTTTAAAGAAATCACAAGACGCTTGCCGATCATCATACGTAGTTTCAGATTGCAGAAAATGATAAAGTTCTATGAAATATAAAAGAACAGTGATAGACAACATAATGGTATTTATAAACTAATATCTAAAGCAGACAATTATGAAGTGATTTTCAAGTATTGGTTTTGTAGGGATTTTCATTTGATTTGTTTGGAGGATTTCATCATGAGCTGACATTGGCTAGAGTACCACTGGAAAACCTGCAGGAAGTATTAGACAGCTATCTCATCCTAGTTTGGGACTCCTCATCAGTACGCATCCACCGCCAGGGTTCGAACCCAGGACCTTCTGGTTACAAAGCTAGCGAGCTCGTAGACCATTAGGCCACAGGGACCCAATTCAATGGCCAGACCATAGCAAGACCGCTTCGCAATGTCTTCTTTGGTGAGTAACTGTTCTCACCTTCGATCTCCTGTACCCTACTGGTCACAGCTTCCCACTAGAACCGTAGGGTAACGGCTTAAATAGGACAGATCAATTTTCAAGTATTGTTGATATAAGAATAAAACTTGTACACAGTGGTAGAGTATAATTCCATTATGGGTAAATTTTGTTTTGATAAAGTCTCACAGTGTTATACAGTAATGTTTACCGATGACGTTTCGAGCACAATTTATTGCTCATAATCATATCAAGGTGATCACATGACTTCCTAAGTTCATTTATATAGTTCCATTGTTTTTCACTTGATTTTTATTTTATTTGATCTACACCCAACACATGCAATAGGAACGATTCATCACTCATTTTAAGTATTGGTTTTGCATGGATTTGGTTTGATTTGTTGGAGGATTCCATCATGAGCTGATGTCAGTTAGAGAACCATCGGAAAACCTGGGAGTACTGAACATCTGTTTCGTCAGCTTAGTATGGGAGTATTCATCAGTGACTTCACCTTCACTCTGAATGATCATGATCTCTGACTGACATTGGTTCGTGACGAAATCACACAATTCAAATTAAATTACTTCAAATCCACGAAAATCTGACAGTGTGAATAGGATTTAAACAAGTGTAACATAGTGCCTGCCCGTATAAAACATTATGTTTCTCTCTTGTTTAGCATTCCAAGCCCAATATCTGTATTGCTCTTGGATCTGACATTGTGAGGTAAGACCTGGTATCATTGCATGTCTTTCCGTCGACTGATCTGATGTACAGACGTTTCTGTAGATATTTTATCATTTGGTTTGATGATGCAACGATCTTATTCTAATTTTAACCTTTAACCTCAAGTGTCGTCAAATCTTATGTAGATGAAGTTTTTTTGATGAATGTAATTGGACTTATCTATCTATACAAATTCAAAACATATTTTTCTGATGTTACCAACATCACCCTGTCATTGATTCATCGTTTCAGTAATGCGTCATAATATGAATATGTTATAAATTTGTACACGGTGGCTGTTCAAAAATATAAAAGTAATTAGGTTAACTAATCAACTAATCACAATCTCGCTCTGTTTTACCCGTTGGTGTCAGATTAAACCGTTGAAAGTGCAAATTCTCAAGTCGCTGGTTTTATGAGTATGTAATATGAAACTAAGGAACAAGTTCACTTAATAAAATCTTTAGACATTCAGGTGACAAGTAACGAAGATGCATTTTTCTGGATTTTCTAGAAACTTCTAGACGAGTCTTCCTCTAACTAAGACACTGATTGTTTTAGTAACATTTTAGAAGTAAGATCGAGTAAACTTCACGAGACAAATTATGTCTGACTGACTAATGTTCATTTATAAATTGGGAATATTTTTGAATATTTATTATACGTGGTGTAATATGTGGTACTCGTAAGTAGTTTATAGGGTGACATCTTCAAAGCAGCAATTATAACTTGTGTTTCAGTAAAAAAATGGAACGGTCAACTGACTATTTTCTACAGCTGGCTACCAATTAGTCTTATTATTATTATTATTGTATCCTTTAATTCCTACAGGAACATAGGGCTTCAGCCGTGCGTCTCCATTGCGTTCGGTTCTCCACTAGAGTCTTCCCCTGGCTCCAAGTCTGCCCACACGTTTTCATCTCCTCTTCACATGACCTCCTCCAAGTCACCCTTGCACTGACGACCAACTCGCCACTTCCCTTTCGGGTTCCACTCAAGGGCTTGTCTAGTGATGTCACTTGATGGTTTCCTAAGAGTATGTCCAATCCATCTCCATTTCTTCCTGCCTATTTGTTTCACAATCGGTTCCTAGTTGGTTCGTTCCCAAAGATCCCTGTTGCTGATCTTTTCTGGCCATCTGATCTTGAGTATTGAGCGAAGACAACTGTTAATGAAGGTCTGTAGTTTGTTTGAGATGGTCTTTATGACGCGCAGTGCAAGTCTCTGATCCGTATAGTAGCACTGACTGACTTCATATTGGAGTTGAAAATCCGGATCTTATTTTTGATGCTGAGTGTTGTTGACCTCCACACAGACTTGAGAGTGATGAAAGCTTGTCTTGCTTTTCCGATCCTTGCTTTGATATCCTCATCAGTTCCGTCCGCCTGTAGTTGAAACGATGCTTCCCAGGTAGGTAAAGGAGGTTGTTTCTTTCAGGTTCCTTCCATTTATGCTGACCGTTGTCTGTTGTTGTTGCTGTTGGTGTTGGCCAGGAATCTTCATCACCTCCTGTTTTCTATATGTTCACCTGAAGTCCTATCCTTGATGCTTCTTCTGCCAACTTGTTGCTTTTCGCTTGCATATCTTCCAGTTTGTGGGAAATCAGACATATATCATCGGTGAAGTCCAGATCCTCCAAGTTTTTTGTGTGTATCCATTTTATGCCTGTTTTCTCATTGCCCGCCGTTTGTCGCATTATCCAGTCTACTGCAATCAGGGAAATCATTGGCGATAGTAGGCAGCCTTGTCTTACTCCTTACCTCACTTCGAAGGATTCCGTAAGTTTCCCGTTGTGGATTACTTGGCATGCAGCATTGTCGTACAGCTGTTGGATGAGATGTATAATTGTCTGTGGCACCCCGTAGTAGCGAAGTAGTTTCCAAATCACCTCTCGATCGACGCTGTCAAAGGCCTTTTCAAAGTCGATGAAGTTGAGATAGAGAGGTGACTGCCACTCTAAGCTTTGCTCAATGATGATCCGTAATGTGGCGATCTGGTCAATGCATGACTTGTTCCTGCTGAATCCAGCTTGTTCCGGTCGAAGTTTTTCATCCAGGGCATGTTTGATTCTCTCCAGGATGATGCGGCTTAGTATTTTGCTTGGGATGGACAGGAGCATAATGCTGCGCCAGTTCTTCCATTAACTTAAGTCTCCTTACTTTGGCAGTTTGAATAAGTATCCTTTCTTCCAATGCTCGGGTACTTTGCCTTCTTTCCACACCTTCTCCAGTAGTGGCGTCATCAAGTCCGCTGTTGTCTCCGGGTCCGTTTTCAATGCTTCTGCTGGGATTCCATCTGGTCCTGTTGCTTTTCCAGCTTTTAGCATCTTGATTGCCTTCAGGACTTCTGATTTCGTCGGGGGGTTGGTGTTCACTGGTAGCTCTGTCTCCGTTGTTGGTATTGCTGGGCGCGTTGTAGGTGGTGGTCGATTTAGGAGTCTTTTGAAGTGTTCAGCCCAGTGTTTCCTTTGCTCCACTTCTTTGGTGAGTGACTTTCCATTGCCATCCTTCACCGGCTTGATTTGTGTCAAACGTTTGCCCGATAGCTACCTAGTAGTTTGGTAGAGTGTTGCGAGGTCTCCTTTGCCTGCAGCTTGTTCTGCCTCACTTGCCATGGTTTCATAGTACTTTCTTTTGTCTTCTCTGGCACTCTTCTTTACTCTTTTGTTCAGTGTCTTGTAGCTTGCGTTCAAATCCTGTTTTTGTTGCTCGTCGGTGCACTGGATAATCTTTTGTTTCACCATCCCTCTCTCTTCTATTAGTTTCCAAGTGTCCGTAGTGAGCCGTTGTTTGTCCTGTCTCTTCTTTCTGCCTAGAACTTCCATGCATGTTTGACTCCATACTGTCTTCAAATTGTTCCAGTGCTTTTCGACGCTGACCTCTTCGCCAGTGTTGATTTGTGTCTCGGCCTTGTCTTTTATACTTGCAGTGAAGATGTCCTTTGTGTCCTGGTCCTTCAGTTTTTGAGTGTTGAACTTGGCTTGTGGCCTATCTGCAGCTCCTGATTCTCTGAAAGCCTTTAATTTGATTTGGATTGTCCCTTGTACGAGGTAGTGGTCTGAGCCAACGTCTGCTCCTCTTCTTACTTTCGTGTCCAGTAGGCTGCGCCTCCACTTCCTTGATATTGAGATGAAGTCGATTTGGTTTTTGGTTCGCCCATCTGGTGACACCCATGTAGCCTTGTGGATATCCTTGTGTTTGTATACGCTGCCACCAATCACTAGTTCATTGAAGGCGCAGAAGTCGGCGAAGAGTTCTCCATTTTCATTCATTTCTCCGAGAGCTTCTCTACCCGTGATGAGTTCCCTTCCTGTGTTGTCTGATCCCAGTTTGGCGTTCATGTCTCCCATTAGTATTTTAATGTCGCCGACTAGAGTTTTGCCCATTGTTGCCTGTAGTTGTCTGTAGAATTCTTCTTTCGTTTCGAGGTCTGCGTTGTTGGCCGGTGCATAGCATTGTATAATTGACACTTTCCTTCCTTTGGAGTTGAATCTGGCGGTTATTATCCTGGGCGAGATCGCCTCCCATTGCATGAGGGCCTTCGTTGCCGTTGGTGACATCATGATAGCCACGTCCTCGGTGTGCGAGTGGTTATCTTCTGGGTGACCGGAGTAGATCACTGACTCACCCGTTGACAATTTGGTGAGTCAGTGATCAGTGAGTCTTAAATGAAACTTAATTAAATCTCTTGCAACTCGCTTCCGACGCATCTCTAGAACTGAGGTTCTGGAAGAATTATACTGTCAGAAAGAAATCTTCATGCAAAATCGGTATCCACCAAGATTTATTGACAAGAACATCAAGCCGGAAATTTAAAGACGAGAGACATCATCCGTGTTAAAAAAGAAACTTTACATAAGCCTCGAGCTCTACGGTAACCTACTTGGTGGTGGTTCTTAAGAGGAGAATTTCGGCTTCGTTAAGAACTTTCTTCACAGCAACGGTGCGATTAGTGTTCTTTAGTCGCCCACTGGTCTGCAGAGGCCCGAAGGACAAGATCTCGCATCTGATCACACCTTTGTGCACACATCAGTTCATCTGTTGCTGTGAGGCCAGGTATATTGGTCGTTCGATGCGTATCCTGTCTAAAAGTGTCCAAGAACATTATCCCATATGGTTTCAGAAAGGCAGCCGTGGCTGTATAGTCAAACACCTTGTTAACACTGGTCATTCCATCTCAACAAACACCTCCTTCAAAGCAATCTCCAAAGTGAAAAGAACCTGTCAAAGGCAATACGCTTTCGTCTCTTTTGCATTGCTGAAGTTTCAGCCATTCAGTTGAAAAAACAAAAGAAAATTATTCAACCAATTCTACTATCATGGTAAAAACATGGTGATTTCTACTGACTTGATTTTCGTTTGTTTGTTTTTCTAACTTCTTATAACGCTTGTAATTCTTTAAAACTCTTACATAATCTTATATTTCCTTTGTTTCTGTATGCATCCTAATTACAACTCATCGGACAAATTATTTATCTCATTGCGTAACTCTGATACACCTATTCAAATCCTTTTATGCATTGACTAATATTAACAACTGTGTTTGTAACAACTCATCACATTTGTTACTACCTACTTTCATGGAAAGTTGTGTATTAGTGCGATTGTACAGCTAAAGAAAATGAATTCACTGAAAAGAGCTTCTTCGCTGAACTACCTGTCTTGTTCACTTCATATTCGGTTAGGGATTTTTCATGAATTCAAAACTTTGCACACAAAACTAACACGTGAGTACAAAAGCTGTGGCAAGGTGTTTTCGCTCATAATATATATCAAACGGCACAACAGATATTCAAACTGAGTAAAAGATAGTTGATGAAACACTTTTAGAACAGCCAAACGTAACATCTGATATGATTAAAGCATTCCACTAAGCGGGTAATACAAAATCCTACAAAACCAACAACCTGAGGAAATTCAAATTGTAATAGACCGCCTCTTTCCTCTCTATCCAAGTATACTGAAACAAAAGCGCGGCAAGTTCGTCTTACTATAGCTTATATACTTACTCAAAAATAACAAAAGTTTTTACTTAACGATAATACAGATGTATTCAGCTACTTGCAAGTTCTACAGATCAGAAGTCATAGCAAAATCTGACAGCTAAAAAACAGCAACATTGAAATATTCACTTTTAGTCGCCTTGCTTGAAAAATTCAAAATATACAACCAACTGACCTGATACAAAAACAATTGATCCAGACATCATAATAACTGAACTGACAAAAATGAACCAAATAAATGCAGCTGTAAAATCCAGTTGTTCTTCTGCTCTACTTTTGTATAATATGCCTTCATAAATTCCACCTCTTCCATACGGATGTATATCAATTTCTTCACGTTCCATTAACATTTCTAAAGTGACAGAAGATAATCTAAATTTTTTGAAGAAAAAGGAAAAATTATTAGTTTATAATAATTTTGCTTTGAAAAAAATAAATACATTATAGTTACCGCATTTGTTGTTCTTCAGTGAGTATAGGACGCGTTGTTGTTGCATTTGGATCTAAGCCTAACATTTGTTTTAAAAAAGACTTCAGTTTCTCTGATTCATTGTTATTATTATTATTGTTATCTGATCGCCATTGGTTTCGATCGATCTGCTGGTGAGTACTTGTCTCGTCAACTCTGACATGTTTCTTTTGTGTTTCCTCGTTGATGACTTCCTCATTAATCTGTAAAATTAGAAACACAAGATTGTACAATAAGTTGATATACTTACTAACTAAGGTGATACTTTGGTTTAAAATATTATGCGGTTAAGAAGATATTTTTGCTGATTACTTTGGCGCATCAGAATGTTACCCTAGAATGATATTTTAACAAATCTGTCTATCCCTTTATTATGATGTTTATTAAGCATTCATCATAATCTGTAATGCAGTCAGTTTGTCACCTGTGAACGTTAGCAATTAATAACCAATCCTATAATCTGAATGTCAACCGTGAACTCATTAATGGTTACTGAATGGATTTCCTGAATCTGCAGTAAGAAGTCGTGACTAGTCAGGTGCACCATGTCATGGTGAAGTAGATGCTCATCTTAGATATTGGTGAAGGCAGCTCTGTATCACAAGATAACCAAGTAAGAACTCAAGGATTATAGAATCCTGAACCAAGTGGCTGAATGGTCGATGATCTTTTCCTCGTAACGTGAAGGCCCCAGATTCGATCCCTGATCATTTCACGAGTGCACCTTGTTGGAGATTTCCAAAATAGGATAAAACAGTTGTCCATTGCTCCTTGTTTTTCAATGATCTTTCTAAGCGATGTTGGTTTGTGATGAAACTCTAACAATAAAAACTTGGGATTCGATAGACAATAAGAAAATGTGAATAGTAAATTTCATTTCTACCTTAAAATAAAACACGTGGTGACCTGTAAACAATCAGCGGATGTATGAACGCCAAACAGCATTCCAGAAAATAGAATTTGAACATGCATGGCTTTCTAGATGTTGCAACCAACTGTGTACGAAAAATGTAATTTTCTGTTCCAACTGTGGCCTCACTTTTTTCAGAACCCTTAAGTCAAGTAGAACTGTACTGTGTCCTACTCATAAACAGATAATAGTGATACACAAACAGGAGCCTTTTGAAAGTCCCTGTAGAAGAAACACCAGGGGGCAAATGTACTTCTGAGGACTATCTAATGGATGACAGACAATGGAGAGCTAAGTACCCTTGATAAATTAGAAGGGTTGATACTATTTGTAAATTATGCAACAACGTTTTGCTAATCCCTACAAATTAACTGATCTTTAATTCCGTAATCATTTCACCCCTCCCTCAAAATTTAAATATCTTATCGCTCACATCCGCTAGTTGATTGTTTTGATAAGCTCTTATTTTCACTCCCCTATACCTAAAACTGATGATTCTTATAGACTAAAATAATCACATGATTGGCGATATTTGAAATAAAAACTATGTATTAGTGTAGAGCAAATGTTATTTATTATTATTTATTATATTCCTTTACTTTCTCAGTGAAACGTAGGGCTTCAAGCTAGCCGCTTGAAGTTTCGGTAGCAATGGTGTTCATTTTTACGGGGTGGGGTTGCCAGCCTCATGCCCAGCCTTCTCTCTTTACCGGCCTTATCACCAGCTTGGCGAGGAAAAGGAAAGCGTCGGCCGGTGATCGAACCCTGGACCACGTGCGGCGTGGTTGGTGAGCATTCTACACTAACAATGTTGAGGAAAAGGAATATATTTCCTCGTCCAATCTGTCGGTTTTTCTACATCTGCAGACTTGTGGAATCATTGCAAAGTTTATTACCTGTTAAGTAGTCATCGTAACTTTTCATAATAAACATTGGATCTACCCGTACCAGTCTTTCTTGTAAAAAAATATCCCACTCGATGAAATTGATGGGAAGTGGTTAGTCAATAAGTTTCAAAGCTTAATAAATAAGTGATTTGGAAGATAATAATACAGACTGCAGCATAAATTGAATTTAGGGATCAGGTATCACCTTCTCAATATTATACTGATACTTAAGGATTGAAAAATAGACTTTTAGAAATTTACATTAACCTGACCGTCCAGTTATACTTCTGCTTCATATTTTATATTCTAAAGTACAGTTAATGTATCTATCTTTTAGGCAAACAATGAAACAAAATTTATTGATCGATCATATCACATATATATAAACTGTTAGTATAAGTATTCATTTGTAGACACTTTCGCTAACATCATTAAAATCGGCACAAAAAATATAAGTGAAATAAAAGCAGCACAAAAACATGTCATTGGTAAATATGTCCGTACAACTTCGGTATTTTATGGAGATATCGACTAAAATATATGGTGCAACGCAATCTACATACGTACGCACGTACCTACCTACCTAGCTACCTAGCGAATACCAAATTTCATTTAAATGTGACTAAAATAGATGATGAAAGAAAAATTCAACATGGAATAAATCTTTTAGTAAAGATAAGTTCAAGTTTTATTTTCAAGATTTTATCTGGTGGTGGTCTGGATTCTACACCAACCATTAAAAAACCATCATTATGTTTCAAACAAAATGTCAAACCTACTAAGTCTTTTGAAATATAAAGAATGATCATAAATCTGTGTAGCTTTGTCCTTTACTAAAGCGACTAGGTTAATAAGCTCGCTTGATTACCAAGATGACTGTATACAAAAATTATTAGCTAAGTTTGTGGCAGGCATATATAGAGTGTACAAAAGCTTCATAACATGCCTGAAGCGCTTATACCATTGTCAAGCCTAAGTGTGAAAAGCGACAGAAGTAAGGATGAAATAAACAAAGATCCAAAGGTTTTATGAATCCATGACAAAGTGATGACCTATAACATATCAGCTGGAATGTGGAGTATTGGTGTGTTTCATATCACCTGGACAATTATACCATGTGTAAAATATCCTCAGTTTAACAACGTACAGTCACACACTTTTCTAAATTTGTGATGATTCTAAAATGGCTTAGTACTAATAGCAATCAGGGAATAGAAGTTGAAACGATTGACAGAGGTTAGGAATCAGAAGGTCAGCTAACCATTCAAGTGTTTTACTGATAACAGAGGTGATCCTTCTGTTTTTGGCTGCGTTATTGTAAGTTATAAAGATTCGGTTGATGACAATCTATAGAATTGCTGACTGAGTGAATTTCGACATATAACTTCGTCCAGAAGTGGAGCAGATGAAGTTTCCCCAGTCCATGTAACACACAAAGCTAGACAAAAGAGAGGAACAATAGATTTGAAAAAAAATATTACTATTAAAAGCAGAAATATGAGGGAAAAGGATTGGAACATGGAAAAACATAGTGGTTTAGTCAATAAGGGGAATCACAGAGAGTGAATACATCTACGCCAGTGAGAACAGTTTTGAGCCATATCATCAATAGCCTCCAGCCGTTGGTTTTTAGAATCCAGAGGACACCAAACAGGCAATCTACGCCTCCCTGTGTGGCTGCCTGAAATCAACTGTCAAAGACTTCATGGACTGGTGTCCTCTTTTGGTTTAATCACTCTTAACCCTTTGTCAGCCTACTCCAGTGTCGACTAACATTGCTCGTCGAAAAAGACGAGGACTCTGTACGTGCATCACATGTTGTAGCCATCTCAGCCGATGTTGCTTCACGACCTGATCAACTGACTTACACTTCTTACCTAACATTCTATGCCTAATCTGAATATTACTCACCATACTATACCACTTAACATATGAGATAGAACTCAGACCTCTGTGGTAAAAGACAGTGTTTTCATATCATGCACGTTCAGTGACCATATCTGACAGGCATAAAGAAGGACACAAAGACCTGCTGAGCAGTAAACGCGTACTTTAATCGATAGGATTGAGCTTTGATTAGTGAAATTTCACAAATAACAAAACTTCTCAAATATTCTTCAAAACTTATGAAAAATAACCACTTTCTTTTCGTGTTATTTTGTAACTGTTCACAGTTCCCCTATTGTTATTTCCTGGAACAATGATCATCATGTCAAACTTCTGCTAATGGAATAATAAAATGTATGCTCTTATTTTGTTAATAAAATGTATATTTAGGCAGTCTGGAGTTGAAGAGAAGCCTCGAAATAAAATGTGCACATTTTATACTGCAAATTTTGTTCTTCCTGGTTTGTTGATGATTAAGGGAACAATGTATGAGTTCCTCAATAAAACACAAGTTGAGACAATTGACTTTAAACTTAAGTGTCAGTGAAAGTGTTAATCAAATATAGAATGTGAAACAACCTCAATAATATATTGCGTAATATGTTAAATAGGTACATCTTTTTTCATGCCATAATGTTAAGTGTTACGAAGTACATAAAAACCCTGAAGTCTTCGCATTCATATTGAGTAAGCACATTTCTAGAGTTGTAAATTTTAGGTGAAATATACTGTAAACAAACTAACACGTCAGATATCTATGCAAAAAGGAAGATGAAATTCTTTACGGAGATACAAGTGAATATACACGAAATCTGCTGAAACAGTTGAACTTCAAACTAAAACTCACATATTTATTATTATTTATCGTTCCTTTGGGTTCCCATGAGAATATAAGACTTCAACAGCACACATTCAATTTATTCTATTCTCTCCAGTCTTCTTTAGGAGGCTTCACAATTGACCATAGGTTCTCATCTCTTCTCCACACGATCTCCTCCATGTCACTCTAGGAAGCCCCACTCATAGTTTTCCATAGGGATTCCACTCGAGCGATGGCCTGGAGTGCGTTGTTATTTGACGGTATCCTCAGTGTGTGTGTGCGATCCATCTCCATTTTCTTCTGCATATTCGCTGACCAGTATGTTTTTCGGTTAGTTTGTTCCCGGAGTTCCTTTTTGCTAATTCTTTCTGACCATCCGGTCTTCAGCACAGAAGGAAGGCAGCTGTTGATAAAAGTTTGTCGCCTGTTGGAAAGCCTTTTCGTGACGCATAGGCCAAGTTTCTGATCCATTAGTGTTGAAAAT